GGCTGCGGCATTATTTCAACTAAAGCAAACAGTAAAACAAATACATAAAAAGATAAACAAACATAAGAAATACATACATAAAAAATAACAAAATAAATAACGCTAGAATTCTTAAAAAAAAAAATCGCATACATAAATAAATATAGTCGTAAAAGTGTTAAAATACACAAGTCCACTGTGCGCACAAAAAGCAGGTGTCCAGTTATTTCAAGTTGGTATTTCGTATTTTTTTATGCTTTTTTTTTAAATTTGTTTCTTAATCCATTTTTCAATCGTTAAAAAACTGGTTTTCAATAGCAATTTAAAGCCTTTTGGATTTCACAGCAACTCAATAAACCCCAGCAGCGAAATCACTAACGATGCAACAATAAAATTCCTAATAATAAATACATGTAACCTCAAGCAAACATTTTGGCTAATCAAACAAAAATTTATTAACATAAAAAAAAAACAAAAAAAATTTTAAAGTGTTACAAGATGTTACTTCAATCACTAATTATGTATGTATTTATGTATATAAGCTTACATTTCTACAAACTAAAACCCTTCAAGGTAGTTTAGTTCGAGCTACTGATTAGTGCGACTGGCTTATAAAGTTGTCTCTGGATTGCCCAGCAGGCTTATAGACTTGACGATCGTCTACTCCCGCTCTGCGCAATCTCTTTTCTTATTAGGCTGACACAGTTAGCAGCTGTAGCAGCGCGTGCTATGTTTAGACAAAGCTGTTGCGCCTGTCGCATACTTCATAAATTTCAATCAAAGTTTCAAATGGAATACGATTATTTTTTATTGGTTTTCCCCTCTCACTTAGCTAATTAAGTAACTGTCTGTCTGTAAGTAAGCTTGCTGTAAGCAAATTGGGCTGCTGGCATACTTTTGTTAAGCCTTAGGATCGGTACAGTGTGGTCGGTTCTACCTAATTTAGAGCTAAAATATATATTTATTTTTTTTTAGTAATTTTTTTTTATTAGATATGTTATTATTTGTCCTCGAAAAATCAAACTTATCATATCTGCCTAGATGCAGTATAAGCTTGATTTGTCTGAATTTCCTGATTAGGTTAATTTCCGCTGAGACTGTAAGCAGCGTAAATAACATTTTTTAATTCTCATTTACTTCCTATGTAATGATCTTTAATGTTCAGGAAGTTAAATAATTTAGCTACTGGATATATATGCACTTTAAAAAATATAAAAATATATCTCGTTAATTTCCGATTTACATCCAACCCCTTGAAATTGTGTGTTAACACCAACATTTTTTGGTTGCAGCGGAATAAAGTTTGCAAATAGAATCGTTAAAGATGGACAAAAAACTGTAGGAGCAGTAAAAAGTGGACATATGTATGTATGTGCATTAGGGCGGGTCAATTATTTTTGACTACACGCTTATAGCATAGGAGGATTCTACGTGTAATTCTAAACAAATTTTCCTAACAAACCATGAACCTAAAATCGATTTGAAATTTGCCAAACAGCGAAAATGGGCTTGAATAAAATGTGAAGATTGTGACTGTTGCGCTCTCTGGTGGAAGCTTTAAGAAAAAGATATGTGCAGAGGTGAATTCCGAATATCAAAAACTCCTAACTAAAAATGCTCAGTCTTCCAAACACCTAAAATTTATCAACAGTTTAATAATTACCCAAAATGTAAACTAGGCATACATTTTTGGTAACTACAATAACCAGAAATTTATGTCCAATTTTACATTGCCAAAAATTTATGTCCGGTTTTTCAATAACCAAAAATTCAGTGCTGTTTTTAAATTACTAAAGAATTGTGCTAGGCGTTGAAATTACAAAAAAAAAAGAGGTGCCTAATTTTTAAATGACCGAAAATTTATGTCTAGTTTTTTGTAAGACCAAAAGTGTATGCTCAGCTGTTGAATAGCCAACAATTTATGTTCGATTTTGAGTGATGAAAAAAAACTATGTTGAATTAATTTACCAAAAATTTATGTCTATTTTTTGTACGACAAAAAATTTATGCTCAGCGTTTGTATTACCAAGCATTGATGTTCAGTTTTTGGATTCCCAAAAATGTATGACCAATTATCCGTTTCCGTTTTCCGATCGAAAAATATTGAGTTTTCAGAATTCTGTACCATTTCTACGAAAAGTTGTTTTTTCGCCCATGTAAAATACATGGAAAACTTTGAGCGCTTTGAGCGACCTCTAAATTTTTTTTTGATTAAAAAATAAAAAAATAGAGGTATATTTTTTCGGCATAGAACAATCCTAGGGGGTGAAAGCATACAAATTCCGATTTTTACTTTTTCTCATGCATTTTTGGATCACCCTTATGTACAAACTCTAAGAACAAGCTTAGAAGAGATACGTCATCGGGGAATATTTCCGTAGTTGGAAAATTAAGAATTGGTAGCTCGGGCTTGTTGGTAAACACGCTATCTACTACCAATCTTCAGTTGAGTTTAGGCTAGAAATCTTGGCGCTCTAAAAACTAATCCGGGCGTACTACAATGTATAGAGATGGTTGGTCGCACACTTTTTGCTAAGGACTCCATATATACATATATGTAGGTATGTATACCCACTACTTAATTTTTCATTAGGAAATTCTTCATTTCGTCCAACTGTCTGCCAGAATGCTAATTTAGCGAAAAAGATGTGCTATACATTATTAATTCGATTAAAAACCGCTTAATTAAAATCACTAAAAACAACAAAATATCAACTAAGGCCAGTCAATCTGACATACATACATACATACATACTAAATTATGAGAACGAATCGAAAGAAAAACAAAAGCAGAACATTTTGTAAAGAAGTGCAAAAAATTAAACAATCAAAATCAAGGAATTTTATAAACCAACAAAGACAGCTTACGTACGACAGAGCACTGCATGGGTTTGTTGAAATTTTCAGCGAAACTACTAATATAAATTAATTCCGTTTTAATATTCGATGCAAAAAAATATACGAGAATGGGCCGAGAACCGGATTTCAAAAAAAAAAAAACAACAAAAAAAAACTTAACAAGTTCAATTCCTGAGTGCGGAAGTCAATTAAAATGATGTCATACAATGACGCAGGCCTGCGAGATTTAGCTTTTTTCCGCCGTCCAATAATTATGTGGATTTTGTTTAATCTCTACATCTTTGGATTTTTTTTCCGGCACGTCGAGATTTTTTTTATTGCAGCAATTTTCATGAAAAGCCAAAAATTAGTTAATTTAAAGTTACATGTGTAATTTAGAAGTTTACGCTAGTAATATGCGGTAATAATAAGAAAATGATGGAAGTAATTTTCTCGAAAAATTTACGTAATGGAATTTCTTTATTATTTTTTAGTAGCATAGTATCTACGGCGAGAGAGCTGATTACGTGCTTATATTAGAATTTTAACGAAAAGCCAAAAATTAAGTAATTTAAAATTAAATTTCTACTTGAAACTAAATTAGAAAGTCTTGTGTAATTTCAAAGGTACCGCTAGCAACAGCCAGTAACACTATGGAAAATTAAAAAAAAAATAATTTTTTCGTAAAATATAATTTTATATTTATTTTTGGTACCGTAGTACCTAATACCTACCCAAATTGCTAATCAGTTACTTATGGGAAAACCCACACATGCTTATAAGGAATTTTTAGCGATTTTCATGAAAACAAAATAAAAATTGATTAATTTAAAATTACGTAAATCCAACGAATAGGTAGGTCAGAAAGACTTGTGTAATTCCGAAGCTACCTCTAGTAATACGCGGTAATACTATGAAAAACAAAAAAATTAATTTTTCTCGTAAAATTTACGCTATGGAATTTTCTAATAATTTTTGTTTGCAGGTACTACCTAAAATGTACTAATTAATTGGTATAATAATCCATTTCTGGCCTGGGATTGCCAATGGCGCACTGGCCATTGAAAACTATTAGAAAACGAACCGAAAAGTAATAATTTTGGTGCCAGCAACTCACTGGCAATATTCCCATCAGGTGTGATAAAAAAATTTGTTTTGGTTAAACTATTAAAACCCGGTTTTTGGCTGTTATGGCTTTGGACCACAGATAAACATATTTCTCACAACAAAACAAAACCAAATTATCATTTGCTGGTTTGAATGGATTCATGCAGACCTCTAGTTTACGCCTCTTCCATTGTAACACTAAAGCAAAATGTGAAAATTTAGATTAAGGCGTTTTTTTTTTAATTTTACGTTTAGTTTGTTTGCGCATGCGCACCCCAGAAACGTGCTGAGGTGTTGAAAATTACCAGCTTGTCGAAGAAAGAATTCTGAATATTTCGAATAAATTTTAATTTAAGGGCCACACGCAAGACACATACATACATATGTACATACGTGTCTGTGCTGAAATACTTTGTGTACTACAGATCTACATAAGTACATATGTATGTACATAATTATGTTGGTTTTGTATGTGTAGACATAATTGAAGTACCGTGGCCAAGTCAGGCACTTGGAAGTTTTGCTTTTCGTTCGACAGTTCGGATGAACGTGTGAGACTACATGTCTACAACACATTTAAGTGCGGATGTGCGAGCCCTTGTGCCTGCGAATGGATTGGGCGGAGCGGACACGTACCGACATTTTCAACTGTTTATGTTTTATCATATTTGTATTAAAACTATATATATAAAGGGTAACTATGTATGTATGTACATACATATGTATGTATGTATGCCAATGTTTAAGATTGCAAGGCAGTTTGCATTGACCTGGAATTATTTGACTTATTCGTGCGTGAAAAGCAGGGCAGTAGTGGTATACTAAAATTATTATTATTTTTTTTTAAATATTTATTTTTTTCACTTTCTTTCTATTTTAAATATAAGCTCAAAATTATTTGTCTACGTATGTTGTATTATTTATTGCTTATGTAATAAATATTAACAGACACAATTTTCATTGAACTCTAAGTTTGTGCAAAGTAACCTTATTAATTCTATTCTATTAATTTAAATATATGTGTTTTTTTAATAAAATATTCTATTTTTTTAACATCTATTTTCCTCTCTTTCCAGCTTGTTATCAAGAAAACTTGCGAGTGGTGGTTTTATAAAAATAAATGCCACAATATGTCGACACATTGGAAGCAAAATGCATTTCTTATATGCTGTGTGCTCCTCTTCGGCCTTCTATTGGGTTTGATTATTTGGTGTCAGCCTGGTAGCAACAGCAATAGTAGCAAAGCAGTTGGCCACACTACACACATACCTAGCAGCATTTTGAACCAGTCGGTTACGTGGACAAGTAGTACAGGCTTTCCACCTGTAGTCGAGTCGCCAGACATCCCAACGATATTCATAAATCATTCATTTATAGGCGATGAGCAGTGGCCCGAAGAAGGTACGTATCTACTAAGGTGACAATGAAGGGTTAAGTCAAGAATTAAAATATTGTTACAAGGGATTTCCAGTGGGCATTAAGGGCTAAAAAAGTTTGGTATTAAAAAATACAAAAGTCTTATACAAAAAAGGCATTTAGTCTCATTTCACAAGCCCCTTTTAATGGCAAATATTTTTTACTAATTCAATGCCTCGTGAAAATTCGGTATTAGCTTAAAAAAAAAATTCAAAAGATTTGCTTGAGATTTTTGAAGTGAAACTTATTTGCGCTTGGTAGAGTGTAAATGCAAAGATCTATGGAACGAAAAAGAGACACGTTCGTTGGTCCAATGGAACGATAAAGAACCAGGAGAAGAGAGGGGATGATTAAGATTAAAATTAAAAGTAAGAATAAGATTGGGGAAAAGATTAAGATTAAGATTATTATTAAGATTCAGATTAAGATTAGAATTAAAATTGAGATTTGGAAAAATACTCATATGGGGAGCTATACAGGGAAGGAAGCCATGCGTGGGATTCAGTCTCGCCCCGAATCGATTAACTGTTGTATTTTTCTGTGTTCTTTAGCAAAGTCTCCCCTGGACGTACCACAATATATGTATATCTCCACTAATAATCTGACGGTTTACTAACAACTATTTTTAAATTTTTTTTTCCAGAGGATATCAAAGATGATATTGGCGACATCAATAATAGCATTCCCGATGATTTCACCAGTGACTTTGTTACGCCACGAAAGGTGCATAATTCCACATTAAGCGAAGATGATATGCTCTATGAGTCGAATCGCAATAAAATTAGTGAACCGAAAGGTAAATCGAAAATGGAATTGATATACATACACAATATCGCAGGTGACATAGAAAAAA